GGTGAAGCAGTCTTGCGTGGTGAGCGGGGATCCACTCCACTGGCTGACCAGTGAGATATTGCATTTGATCCCAAATGCGCAATGACCCTTCATGTGCATAAAATCACGTCAGATTTCTTAAATCAAGTACAAGTCTGATTCTGAATTGAAATAAGGTTTTTAGTCATGCTAATTATCCATGAATCTGTTATTTGATATTATTGTATGTAAAGATTTTGTATCGTGATCGAGATAGCTTTCGGCGACAAACACTTTTTGTTGGCAAGTCGAAGGTTTGGTTACCAATTGGTATCTCATTAGCTTGAAGATGCCAATGTCAAGTTTGAGTCACTGGTTACATCCAATGCCATGGATCAAAGACAAAACGTTTTTGCGATTCTGCTGGCCGCCAACGATGGGCTCAGTCAATTCCAGATTCATTCTTCTCTTGCACTTTTTATGATGATATGGTCAAGAGGTTCGCCCCAATAATCATTTTGTTTATACCATATCAAATGGTGCCTGCAAAGGGTCTCAGAGCAAACTTCTGACCAAAACACAATGACTTGAAGCATTCAAGCAATCAGGTAACGAAATCTCAAATAATTTTTCGATGAGTTTTGGAAGCTTTGCCTTCAGCATGAAGCTCACTCCGTCATTGACAATGCACAGGGTACGTGGTTGTTTTCGACAAGGAAGTCGCTTCTTCCTAGGTTTCAAGTCAACGCAATCGACAAGATTTTGAGTTCCGCAGGAAGGCCGGACTCGTGATAAGACTGATGTCTTTACGCTCAAGTCCAGAATGTGTGTTATCCATCACAGCTGGATGGAGACCAGTTGTTATGTCGCGTTTCGTTTAACTGAAGCATCAACGTGCGTTTGATACGGACATAAATTACCTCTCTTGAAGACCCGCCGAGTTGCTCAATCAGGCATAATATTACAAACAGGTCAATTTGATTTGCTACTCTGTTGCTATACTTGTTCTTGTGTTCTGAGCAAATCGTGGGGCCGAATGACTCCGTATATTTCTATGTTAGCAGTCCACACAACGAAATTGTTAAAATTGAAAAATTTTCAAAATTAGCGGTATGCCGAAATAGGTTTTTTGTTACGATTGTAAAGTACTAAGTGTTGTAGGGGTGCTGCATCGTTTTAAAGACTCAAGACCCTGCATAGGTTGGCAGCATTGAACTAAAACTTATAAATAATAACAAACACTAAGTTAAGTTTTTTTCTGGTTGCCTCTGTAAACTCTGGACTCTATACCATGTACTTTGTAGCAGAATCAGCGATATAAGATGACGATAAAGCGCCAAAGTGTAGCCTGATATCTGCAAGTCCATCAGTATCCTCAACAATTTCCAACCAGGACTGCTTGATTTAAACCATTTAAAAAAGCGAAGGCAGGTATGAACAAAACCATCAAAGCGCTGGTGTCTAGCCGTAGAGGATTCATCGGCATTATTTAATCTCGATGCAAAAAGTCAAACCATGACGCGTTCACCGCAGTCGCTTTTGGCATTCGCTTTCGTAGATTTTACATACAAGCTGTCATTATGCTTCGTTTGACCATCGGTCGGTAGAAAATCCACTGTGGGAACAATAATTTGGTACAAAGAATCTCTGAGAAATATCGGCTGAATTTGCTGTAAAGCGCGGTTCTTATCCCGCAAACGTTGATGCAGGACAAATATAAAGTTCTTTCAAAAGAATCACACGGGCTGTATCTACGCCGAAAGAGATGCTCGTGTCTAGTGGCCTGCTAACATTTTGCTGATACCAGAATACTATATGAGGGCTCCGACGCATGTAGCGAGGCAGATATTTGCTCACACTTTTCATACACACACAAGTGCTTACCCACTTGTACATAAAGGGTCACCGGTACAAAGCGCTCATCAAAGCGTAATTTAATTCGTTACCTATTCGACCACTTATTATGCCTAGTCCTATTTTGTATGTGATTGGTACCACCACACACTGAATCCGAAATCGAATGAATCAAGCCCTGAAATAAGAACTGATTACATTACAGCGCTCGAAAATGTCAGAAGAAGCAGCATTATGGCTAGAGATCTCCTTGCTCGATTGACCTTTTAACAGCGCAACGCCATCTGGAATGATTTGCACACCATACGTATAGGATCGTCAATGTGATGCGACCATTATGACGTGTGATCGGTCCTAGTGCAAAAGCGCATTCGTTACCACATTAAGCGGCCCTGCTATCCTCGAAGGTATAGTCGGCAATTAGAAGACTCGTCCAATCTCTGGCCAAAATGTGGTGATGACATTGCTGTGTGCAATGAGATGTTGCATGGTCCTTATCAATCATAAATGGATAAAAGCAAAGCAGGTAGACTTTCACCTTGTAGAAAAATAGTATTTCGCAAGTAACACCTCGTCAGGAATCGGAATTTGAACTTCTGCCACGAGGAGTTACTTGCGATGAAGAACGCACTTGTCAAGCTCAGGGTGCACCTGCTGTGCTCAACGCCGTTTGTGATCTACACAGATCATTCGTCACTATGCACTGCGGCTCAGTCGCCTTACCTCTCGCATAGGATGGTTAGCTGGCTCTCATTCTTCGCAGAAAATAACGTTGAGGTGAAGTATAAGCCAGGAAAGCAGAATGCTATGGCTGATGCATTGTCACGCAGACCGGGCTATGAGCTTGCTCACATCACCACGGTGACGTCGTCAGTGATTGATTTGTGTAACGGCTCTCGGGAGCAAGACGTTTGAAATCTCGGACAAGAAATTGTCGGCGTGTTTGCGCGCACGATTACATCGATATTCGTTGAATAACAGGTTGTTGTATTTAGCACCGATTCACCAGATACGCCACGAATTGAGGTTCGTCACGATGAAAATTTGGAATATCGTATCCTCTACGCGGCCCACGACACCCCAATCAGTGGTCATTTCGGTCGTGAGAAGACGTACAGCTAGGTGAGCTGCCACTATTAATGGACCAAGCTGTACAAATGAACGAGCACATATGTGCGCACGTGTGAGACGTGTCAGAGGGTGAAACCCTATCCGAATACAGCGGCGCCACTGACCAGTTTGCTGGTACCCTCCGGGTGTTGGCAGTCTAGAGTATGGACTTTGTGACTGGCCTATTGAAGGACTCGGCGGGCAACACGGGTGTGTGGACTGTTTGAGCAAGATAGCTCATCTTGCGGTAGTACCGGACAACATTGACAGTGTGAATACAGTGACGCTGCTTGTCGATCGTGTCTCTCAACAACATGGACTTCCGGAGTCAACTGTCTCGGAAAGAGACCCACGCTTCACTGGAAAGTTTTGGTCGACAATCTTCAGGGTGCGGGGCACCAAGTTGACTATGTCCACAGCGCATCATCCGCAAACCCATGGTCAAACTGAGCGCGTGAATAGCGTCGTTGAAGACGCCCTTCGCAGCGTCTGCGCTGAGACGCCGAAGCGCTAAAAGCGCCATGCTGCAACATGTGAAGTTCGCTCTGAACAGTGCATTGCATGCGTCTACTGGCTACACGCCATTCTACATGAATAGGCTTGTTAATTTTTGCGTCCTGTTGACGCCGCCAGCCCATGAACTAGGGCATGGTTGGGGATTAGTAGCCGAACGGCTCGCTAATGTCATGTTCGTAAAGAAGTCGTTGACCTTCTGTCTACCAGACTGAGTGTCCTACGACACGTTTGTGATGCGATGGCTTAAAGCCAAGACATGCAGAAGGAATATGCAGACGAAAGAGGAAGAAGAAATGCTGAAAACATTGAGGTCGACACCTAGTTTTCTAAAATGCTAAAATCCTTCCTACACATGCATTTTCTGCTATCTCTATGACGAAGCCCCGTCCACGGTATATTGGACCTTTCAAGATAGTGGCCAAGCGAGGCCTTGCGTATACGCTGAAACATTCGAGAAGGCTGTGCACCCATCCGATGTTTTATGTATGTTTGGGCTTGGGCTTGATGAAACCTTACTAGGATCCGGCGCAAGTGATCGCGGGAGCGTTGGTGCCGGGGTGGCGCCCACAGACGCTCGGCCACCCAGAAGCTGAATCAGCAACTGGTTCTGAGCACGCAGTGCAACGACCTCCTTTTCAAACGGCACAAGGCGCTCCACCGTCACACGAAGTGACGTATTAATCTACTAGGAGCCGCTTCGACAGAGCGAAAATCATCAACGTGAGGCAGTCGGTGCACAAAGTGCTCTGGGCTCACAGGGTCTTCCGCATAGTGGTAGACCACCTTGGAAAGATGCTTGGCAGGATGCTGATGACGATAGACTTGTTCTCCAAAGCTCGAAGAGTATCGCGAGTCACCAGGCGGCGATCGAACAATCGTCATCGCCCCCTCTGACTCTTCTCGATGAGAATGTTGGCACCCACTTTCACGTGGAACGCCTTGTGAGTCGTCGTCGTCGACAGGGTCGAACCCAATATCTTGGTAAAGTGGCGGGGATACCCAAACTCTGAGACTTCGTGGGAGTTGAGGTGCCACTTCGGCAAGACTGACCAGACGTCGTAAACGCTTATGATCAAAAGAATCATGACGCTTTGCGTCGTCGTGCGCACCGCGCTTCTCGGCAGGAGCCCGGGAAACCGAGGGGCCATGAGCTGAGCTCAGGCTATGGCCCTGAGCTGCTGTGGTCGTAGACCTACCCGTGTGTGAGACCACAGAACTCGCGGGAGCGTGATGGATTGTTTTATATGTCGCGGAGCGACGATACGCAGGAAGTCGGCGTTGCGCCTTGAGTTTGGCAAACTCAAATCTAAGATGCACTTCCTTGTGGCTTTGCTATAACGTAGACAGCGAAGAAATTTTTTGGTGCCGCTGCACCCATCGCTCAAAGAGCTCATCATCAACTGTAGCGGTTTCGCCAGGGGGGAGCACCACAGGATTGGTCCGCATTGCGGGTACGGAAGCTCCTCCTTTTTGAGCTCGAAGTCGAGCGGGTACCGAATCATTGGGATTCCTTTGTTTAATTAGGTAATGCTAAATTTAATCAGGAAAACCCAGGGTTTTATATATTGGCGGCTCTGCCGCAACTAAAACAATTATATACAGTTTAGAATTTGAACAGAAGTGTTCGTTTGTCTTGGTTAAGGTTTTTAGTATTTGAAAACAGCGGGTTATGTTCCGCTACACTCGTACTGGATCTTGGAGAAACGTAAGGTTGGCGACTTAGCTTAGACAAAGAGTTATGGCAGCCCCGCCACAAAAGGCGTGTGTTATGCACTTAATGAATAAGCATCTGGCTGCCAACTTCGAGGTCATGAGTTCAATCGCTTTCTTGGATTATGCTTTGGTTATAAAGCAGATTTTGCACTTTAATATTACAACAAAAGGTCATTCAATTTTTGATACCGACAATTTGTATCGTCTTGAGTGAGCAACATTGCATTCATCTTTTATCGCGTGATATTCACATATTATAGT